GTCTAAACAAGTCCTGGCCATTGAGGATGTGCAGGGATTAAACCATGAATAGAAGATTCTGTCTCTCCCCTTAACTCTTTCAAGTATTAATTTTTTTTCTTTAATTGGAAAGTCAGATTTACAAGAGGAGAGACAGAAAGATCTTCAATCCGCTGGTTCACTACCTAAATGGCTACAATAGCCAGAGCTGAGCTGGTCCAAAGCCAGGAGCCTCTTTTGGGGTTCCCATTCAGGTACAGGATCCCAAGGCTTTGGGCTGTCCTGCACTGCTTTCCCAGGCCACAAGCAGGAAACTGGGTGGGAAGTAGAGCAGCTGGGACACAAACCAGCACCCACATGGGAACCTAACAGATACATGAGGTGAGGATATTAGCCACTAGGTTACTGTACCAGACCCTGAAATAATAAATCTTTAAAAACAAGTAACAACAGGGCCTGGCACAGTTGGCCTAGTGGTTAAAGTCCTCGTCTTGAATGCGCCAGGATCCCATATGGGCGCTGGTTCTATCCCAGTAGCCCCGCTTCCCATCCAGCTCCCCCTGCCTGTGGCCTGGGAAAGCAGTCGAGGACAGCCCAAAGCCTTAGGACCCTGCACCCATGTGGGAGATCCGGAAGAGGTTCCGGGTTCCCCGGTTTCAGATCGGCGCAGCACCGGCTATTGCAATCACTTGGGGAGTGAATCATCGGACGGAAGATCTTCCTCTCTGTCTCTCCTCCTCTCTGTATATCTGACTTTGTAATAAAAAAAATAAATAAATCTTTTTAAAAATAAATAAGTAACAACAACAAACTCCAAAACTCACAAACCACCTTTTTAACCATCTGTTCTAAAACTACTAAAAGTTAATAAAGTTCAAGTGTTTTAACTGCCAAAATCTGTTTAAAGTTGGCTTTGTGGGGCCAGTGTAATGGCTCAAACCAGCTGATTGTTCACCTTCAAGCACTGGAATTTCATATTGGCACCAGTTTATGTTCTGGCTGCTCGACTTTCTATCCAGCTCCCTGCTTGTGGCCTGGGAAAGCAGTCGAGGATGGTCCAAAGCCTTGGGACCCTGCACCTTATGAGCGATCCAAAGGCATCTCCTTGCTTTGGACCAGCTCCAGCTATTGTGGCCATTTGAGGAGTGAACCAATAGTGGAAAGTTCTTTCCCTATCTCATTATCTCTGTACACCTGGCTTTAAATAAATCTTTTTAAATGAAAAAATGTTTGGGCCCGGCACAGTGGCTTAGCAGCTAAAGTCCTCACCTTGAACGCTCCAGGATCCCATATGGGCACCAGTTCTAATCCTGGCAAATCCGCTTCCAACCAGCTCTCTGCTTGTGGCCTGGGAAAGCAATCAAGAGCGGCCCAAAGCCTGGGGATCCTGTACCTATGTGGGAGACCTGGAAGAAGCTCCTGGCTCCTGCTTTGGATAGGCACAGCACCAACTATGGCAGTCACTTGGGGAGTTAATCATCGGACGGAAGATCTTTCTCTCTGTCTCTCCTCCTCTCGGTATATCTGACTTTCCAATAAAAATAAGTAAATCTTTCTTTAAAAAGTGGGTTTTTTTTTTAAAAAAAAAAAATGATACCTCTCCTGACCCAACACCTCTCTGTCATCACTTCTACAATCAGTTCCCTCCTGCCCCAGAGAATAGGCCAGGTAGGCAGCATCTCCCCCACAGCCTCCCACCCACCAGCATGCCGTTCCAAGGCCCAACTACCAAGGTCCTGGACCTCCAGTTGGGCCACTGAGCTGCTGGGCCCGAGGCTTAGCAAGCCTTCCACACTAACCAGGTGCTTCGATTCCTCCCGGGTTCGAGGCTGTGCTCAGACTCCAAACCTTAGGCCACCACTTCTGCTCTCGGCAGGCTTTTCTTTCGCATGAAGTACTCCTCTCCCCCCTCTCCATCAGCTCACTCTTGTCACCCACTGGCAATTGTGCAGTGAGGCCCTGGGCCACAGGGACACTACTTCTGTATGTCCTGCCTTCACCCAGGCAGTGAAGGCTGGCAGACACCGCCCTGCCCCTATCTGGCCAGGGGACCTGCCCCACAGTTCTTAGACTGAGTAAACAAGGGACAGCCCAGAACAAATTTGTGTTATTAGTGATGCGCCTTAACTCAGATTAACTCATGCACAATTCTTATGCATAAAGATTCTCCCCTAGATGTCCTAGCAGTGTGTTGTGACAGCCTATACATGACCTACTATTCGGCAGGAGTTAGGCATATTTTACCTCTTATCAACTGCACAAAGACCACTCCCATCTTATAACAGGACACCAATGCTAAACTGATAACACATTTCACCCTCCACCAAGACCACTTATGCTCCCACACCCACCCAGCCCCGCTCTTCTAAGCAGCTGTGTCTGTTGTGCCCCCATGCCCCGGTGCCTAAACCCTTCCTGAGAAGGTACTGTGCAACTGTCACCCCCTCAGGTGTGCTGGCCATGGCCACTGCCCATCTGTCCCACTCCCACAGCACGCAAAGAAGTTGTCACTTACCCCAGGGCAGCAGGGCAGCTCTCCAGCCTCAAAATATTGCATGTGTTTTCACAGTGAGGCATTCCTCTAGCACACCCCTCCACCAAGCAAGATCACCCCTCCCCACACACAGAGCAAAGACAGAAAGCCCAGGGTAACCTCTTCCCACACCTTCACCGCACGAGTGACCCTTAGCAGCAGGGAGAGAGGGAAACTGGTTGGAAGTGGGAAGGGTGGCGGGAGGAGGAGGAAACACCAGGAGGACAGCAGAGAATCAGGTAGATGCCCAGATTGATGGTCCAGAATCCCAGGCTCAACAGGGTCAGCACCCAGCGACCCAGTCCTGGGGCACAGTCCCTCCACTGTCAGCAGAGCTCCCAGCCTCCCCCAAGGGTGGCGAAGCAAAGAGCAGGTTCCCTGGCTCAGCTTGCTGGCTCCTATGGACACTCCCTCAGGCACGGCCCAGCTCTGCAACCATGCCAGGGATGTTACACGCATTCAGTGTAGCACCGCCTGCAGAGTGGTTCTGTTTCACTAAAACGTGCGAGCACGCGCAAACACACACACACACTTCCAGGCAGCATCTTCACTCTCAGAACACAGCACATCATAAACATGAAATGGAAAGGGCCTAACTTTGGAACAGTTGGTGCTATTTTAGGCACAGAAAGTTACTTTGCGAGAAAGATTCACACCGTTGTCCCCACTGCATTGTTTCACTGGAAAGACTCTGTCCCGAGACACTACAGGCCACCCAACCACTTCTGACCCAGAAAGAGGACCTGCTGACCAGGGTCACCACAAGCCACACGGGCGTGATTTCCCTGGCCACGCGGTGACGAGCAGGGAAGCAGGCATGGGCAGGCCTCCATGGGTGCAGCCTCGTCCCAGCAGGGCTATCTCAAAGCCTCAGCCAGCCCCAATCCAAGGCATCTTCCCCACGACCACCCAGCAACTGGGGCTGACAGCTCACACATGTGGATGACAAGGCCCTGGCCCTGCTCCCAGCTCCTTTCACTCAGGTATGCCCCAGTGGTGCCAGAAGTGGCACTTGCCCACAAGTTGCTGGGACCAGAGATCCCTGGGGACCACACAGAACGCTTGGCCTGGCCTCACCTCCCTGGGTTTGCGCACAGGAGGAACACAGTGAGACAAAGGAGTGGAGAAGGAAGCAACCGCTATCGGGAAGCGAGCAAAAGGCAAGAAGCTGTGCCAAGCAGAGAAGTCCCTTCTCACACCCGAATCCTAGCTCCCTTGCCACCAAGAGAAGTAGAGCTCTGATCTACCCCAGCCCCCCACTAGAAATGACTGAGGGCACACGGGGCTGGCGAGACGCCAACTGCCCCCAACACCAGCAGCCTCAGGGGCTGGGTGCTGCCCACAAGACTGCAGTGGTGACCCATGTGTGCGGAAGCAGGGAGAGCAATGCAGAGCCGGAGCCAGTAGTCACTGGGTCATGACACCCAGGGTCCACAGGGAGAAAGGGCAGAAACATCACAGTGACACACACTGCCCTACCCCCGACAAGCCCATCTTTCTTCTCCCCAGGCATGTTGGCAGGGCAACACAGCCCCAATGCGCTCCAGGCACAACTCATGATAGGGAATCCCAGGCGCTTGTCAGTCCACCGTAGCCACAGGTGCCTGTGGCCTCAGCGGCTCTGCAACTACACAGTTCCCGCGTGCAAAATGCATGGCCATCAACTACAACTCTCCCATGCCACAAACCTATCCCCACTCCAAGGAGCAGACAGCTTCTGGCAAGGACTGTGTGGTCTTGGATAACAGAACTGCAGAGCCCTGGAAGCCCCCCTGCCCCCAGGCAGCGCTCAGGCCTGCGGCTCTGTCCAGCGCCAGCTCTGCTGCCTGGAGCGACCTCAGCCGCTACGCGGCTCCGCTAGAGCCATTCAACTTTCTGTACCTACCTCTGCCAACTCTCCACTGTCCCCACCTCGGGCCAGCGGCATGCCACCAGGACACAGGGGAGGGTGGTCGATGCCGGAGCGTTCGCATGCCTGCTTCATCACCCTCCCTCCTCGGCTCCCCTGCACCCTGGTCCCACATAAAACGGGCACAACCTCCCCCGTCGCTCAAAAGCACATCACTTGTTCATGCAGTTAGCATCCAAGTGCCAGGTCCTGAGAACTCAGAAGTCTTTGACCCCAGCGAGTTCTCAGAATGCCAAAGAAAACCCAATCATGCATTTCTCATGAGATTTCCCAACCACTTCAACCAGCTCTATCACCATTTGAGAAAAAAAAAGACATCAGTATCCAAAAGGAGACTTGGCAAGAGCCGCAGTCTAGTGCATGGTGACAGCATCAAGTCAATTTGTCACTCTACTTCTCTCCAACCTCCACCCCTTACCTGATGGTCACCACCAGTGCCAGCTCTACAGTGACCTGTAAACACGCCCTGAAGGGCTTCAGACAGGTCATGACTTACAGGGATAAAGCTAGACATCATGGCCCCTACAGCTGAGGGCTGGGGTTGCTGCGGGGTGGGTCGGAGCAGGGTGGCTGGCTTACCTCCTTGAGGAGCCCCGCTTTCTTCTTGAGCATCTCACACTTGCGCAGTTTGCAGATCTGGTGCGTGCGGCGGTTGGTGCAGCTGGTGCACGCCCCACAGTTCTCCAGTCGCCGACAGGGCTCACATGTCCCACACCGCTTCCGCTTCTTTCGCCCATCGCCAACCCCTCGGAGCTGGGCTTCGCTCCCAGGCACAGGCAGCCCAGACCCCTGGAAGCCCCCTACCGTCACCTGGCCCTGAGGAAAGTCATAGAGGCCTGGCAGGTCCGGCTGGACGGCCAGGGGCACCTGAAATTGACTCATGACGCAGCCAGAGGTGAGGGCATAGATAGGGCTGGGACCCAAGCACCGGACGGCTCTACGGTGGTCTGCCAAGGGCCACCAACAGGTCCTTCTTATCCTACAACAGTATAGCACCTATAAGGGTGAGGGCCAGGAGCGCCCCTCCAGGGTGGGGCCTGAGAGTCAGAGGGGGCGTTGCACAGCTCTCCTGTTCACCTCCTCTGCAGCCTCCAGCTAGGGCTCCGCAGGGAGCAGCTCTCCCACCTGCTGGGGCCCAGGATCGCGGGTAGGACACCAGCGCCAGCTCCCAGGGAAGGGATCATCTTGACTGGGGGGGTGCTTCACCCTTGACCACCCTAGAGCCGGGCATGAGGTATGCAAGTGGGTGTGCAGCGGGGCAGGGCGCAGCAAGTGAGTTTCTTTTGCTATGTCCCCAAGTCAGGCCGGTGGAGCAGGGAGGCACTGTCTGAAAAAGAAAGGGGAAGCGCATCACTTGGGGGCCTCCGGGGTAACTTTCACGTGTCACCTCTTCCTGCTTTCTGGGAGAGGGGCCGGCTTAAGCCAAGTCCCTGCCCCGGATCCTTGAGCAGGCGGGCTCCCAGCACCCGCTCCCCGGACCACGAGCGGAGCCACAATAGCGGTGCACTGCGTGAAATGTCGCACAAAGTTGCCTCTGCCCTACCCCCAGGGGCTCGGGAGAGTTGCACCAAATCTCCCACTCCCCCGTTCCCCGGAGGCCGTGGGGGCCCAGCGAGCAGAGATTGCAAAATAAAGTTTGTGCCAAGAGCCTCACCCCGCGGGGCAGCCCCGGCGCCCCCAGCGCGGAAGCGGCCTGGAGGTGGGGGCGCGCCCCTCGTGGTCCCGGGGAGGGCGGCCCGCGCCTCCGAGGGGCGCGGGGAGGGGGCGCGCGCCAGCCGCGGGCCGGGCTTTGCGCGGGCGCGCGCGCGTGCACCGCCACCGCCGGCGCTCGGGCTCCTTTGTTCTGGGCCCTCGGCCGCTCGGCTCCGGCGGCTCCGCAGCCCCCGCCCCGCCCCGCCGCCCCCGCTACTCGGTGACCCCGCAGCACCCTCCTTCCCAGCCCCGGTGTCCCCCCACCATCCACCCACCCCAGGCAACAAAGTAGCGGGCCACCCGTCTTCCCCTCGTCCGCCAGTCCGCGCCGCCCCTCCCCCGCCAGCCGGGACCCCCCCCCCCGCGCACCCCTCCCCCACCCCAGAGCCGGAAAGGCACCGACTGCACCGACCTGCCCGCCGCCGCCTCCGGGGCGGAGCGCACAAAGGGGCAAAGTTTCCCCGGCCCGCACTACCGCCACCCCCGTCGCGGCCGCCGCCACCGCCGCCTGGGGCGCCCGCCTCCCGGAGCGCCCGGCCGGGCCGAGCTCGGCGTGCTGCGCCCCCCGCCCGGGCCGAGGAGGGGACGGCACAGGAGGAAGGAAGAGGCAGCAGCAGCGGCGGCGGCCGCGGCGGCAGCAGCAGCAATGAAGGCGTCCGCGGGACTCCCCGCCCCCCGCGCGCCGCGGCACGTGCTCGCCCGGGGACTCCCCCGCCCGGGAGGGCGCGCACGTGCGGCCTCGCCAGGCCCCGCCGGCCCCGCCGCTGCCCCCTCCGCCGGGCTGGGGCCGCGCGAGGGCCGGGGCTGGGGGGTGGTTCCCGTGGCGGGGGAGGGGGCGAGTGGGGGCAGGGCCGGCCGGCTTTGCACCTGCAGTGCCTTTCCACCCCCAACCCCCCCACCCCCGCCCGCAGCTGGCCCTCGGGAACTCGGGAAGCACCCCAATCCTCCCGGGGTTGGCCGCCCCAGCTCGCTGCCGAGCTGTAGCCCGAGCTGGCGGGGTGGGGCACGCAGACCTCCTAGGCCCTCCGCGGTGTCCCCACTTCCTGCCACTCCAGCAGGCCCGGTGTCCCCCCGTAGCCCTGCGCTCTGGGCCCCGCTGACCCAGTCCCGGTTCCCTCCTGCACCGGTGGCGGCGTACTAGGTCCCAGGCAGGACAATAGGGGACATCGCGCGTTTGCGTACCTAGTGGGCCTGGTCGGCAGGAGGGGGATGCCCAGGGGGCAGAGGCCGAGCGCGTGCCGCGGGCGGCCTCACGGGGGTCACGGCCGCGCGCCCCGCCCAAGCGCACCCGGGGACCCTGCCATCTCGGGCGGCCGCTGCGCTGCGCTCCGCTCGCTCTTTCGTATCGAAAACAAAGACTAATCTGATCTCCCCCCCCCCTCCCCGCCATGCCTTCCCGAGGAGGGGGACGGGCAGGACACGGAGGGTGGCCGAGGAGGACAGCGTTCGGGAAGCACTGGCACAGCCGCCGGGGCGCGGCCGGGCCCTGAGACCCGGGCAGACACTTTGCAAAGTCGCCCGAGGCTATGTTCCAGGCCTTTGGGGACGGCGGGGGCGGGGTTGGGGTAGTTCTAAGGGATGTGGTTCGGGAGCCTTTGAAAGTTGCTAAACTGCCCCTTCTGGCTTCTGCCTCGCCCCCCTTCCCCTTCCCTCACCTGTTGTGCACGCCAAGTTGAAATTCCAGGTTAGATTAATTGAGCTCCGCCCAGCTGCCCTGGCTGCCAGGCTAAGGCCCCGCAGCTGCCTCCCACCTACCTGGGCTGCTGGGACGAGGGTGGGTCTTTAATACACACGGGCAAGTCCTAGCAAAAACAGCCACGGGGCGGACTAGCCTGACCAGTTTGGGCGGTGCTCACGGACCAGGTATCTGGCAGGCGTCCCCGCCCGGCTGAAGCTCACAAGTCAGTCAGAGCTGGAAAAAGAGCATTCGACCGGCTACTTAGAAGGGGGAGGGAGTGGGGGAAAAGTAACTGATCTTAAGGAGCGCTGTCCAGAAAGCCCTGGGCGGTAGCTGCCGTCCCGCTCCGCCAGGAACTAGCGTCTGGCAAGCCAGTGTTTGACAGCCAGCGCCAGAGGCCAGAGGCCGAGTTGTCAGCTGCGGGGTGGGCGGCGGTGACCATGGCTGCGAAACTGGCTTCTGTGGCCGCTGGAGGACTTCCCTTTTTGCCCAGGGAAGAAAGACTAGACTGGAAGAGAAACACCCATAGCCTATAAGATAAACGTCAATCAAGCAGAAGGACTGGACGTGGATTCGTCTTTGTCCATGAGAGGCAGAGCACCCCTCTGCGGGTCACCTCCCCAAGGTTGGCAACAGTTGGAGCTATCGCTGGGCCTGGGTCTAGGCTGGGAGGCCTGAGCACCACCCAGGCCTCGCACCTAGGACACAGGAACCCAATTACCAGCCTCTGTGTGTGTGTGTGGCCTTCAGCACACAACACTTCCCTGGGCTCTGCAGGAGCAGGAAGTGCAAGTCTGGAGCCAGAGCTGGGAATGCAACCCAGGCAACTCAGATGGGGGGGCGGATCTTAACTGCTAGGCTAAGTGCCTGCCCGTGATTGCTTTAATGTAACAAGTCATGTTTATCCTGCATGGGAAAGCATTTGGAAAATAGGCATTAAAAGGGGGGAAAGGTTGCCAACCATTAGCTATATTCCCAACTAGCCTTTTCTTTTTGTGGGTCCGTTTTCTTTTAAAAATCTATGTATATATTTGCTGTAAACACACTGGTTATATAAATCATCCTCTTAACCCACCATTGGGTGTTTTCTACTTCAGTCTTTAAGAAGCATGAGAAGGCTGAGGAGCGGAGAAGCCTGGCTCAGCTGTGGCCCCACCCGCGCAGGCTGACCTTGGAGTAGGTACTCCTCACCCTTGAGCGCAGAGCCCCAGTAAGGTGCTTTCTATAGGGCGCAGTACGCAGCACCCTGTAAGCCAAGCACTATCAGCAAACCCTTCTTACAGATAAGAAAGCAGGTAAGTCATTTGCCTGGGATCACTTGGCTGGGGAGTTGTGAGCTTGGAATTTGGACCCGCAGCTTTCCTCCTGCTTTCTGTTGAAGCCAATCTACTCCTCACTAGCCATCCAGGAGATTGCTTCCCAAGAGCCCCTGGCTTAGGCAATGTGACAAGGACTTGGGCCATGCACAGGGGCGGAGCGCAGGAGGATAGATACCTCGGATAGCCCGATGGGGGAGGGCTTGGACAGTTGGAGGCCAGGACACACACAGTGGGCTCCTTCAGTGGGGCTTCCCTCAGGAGTGGAGGAGCTCGCGGGGGAGGAGGCGGCTGCAGGGACAGAGCCTGGGGAGGACGGCCGAACAGGAGGAGGAGCTACTGACAGGGTGGGAGGACAGCCAGCCCTGTGGGAGAGCTGCCTGCCGCGTGTTCCCGAGCCCGCTGCACTACAGCCATACCCTTCCAGCAGCTCCACAGCTCCTGGCTGCCGTTTCCAGCTCCGGGAGCCCCCTATCGCTTCCAGATCCTCCTCCTAGCTGCTAATTTCCTCTCATCCCGCAAGTCTGGGCCAAAGGGCTACTTTTCCTCCAAGATCTTCTATAGTTCCTCACCCAGGTTCTGGGCCTGACTGCCTTCCAGAGAAATCTCCAAGCTGCCCACCTGGCCTTCAGGAACACTTATCTTATCGGCAGTGGAATTGTTTGCATATTTCCTTCCCAGTTACTACGGACTCTTGCAGGGCGGCTGCTGGCTTTCACCTCTGTAACCCTATACCTGGCACCCAGTCTGTGTTGAATCAGGAAACCGGTCAGTAGGGCCGGCACAATGAAACTTGCTGCTAACACTGAGAAACCATGGCTTCCAACTTTCTTCCCCAACTGCTTTCCAACACCACCAACAACCCGTATGCCCCAGGTCCTGCCATGTTTACTCCCTGTTCACACAGTGCAGGGAGCAAAGGAGGGGCATGTATCTGTGTGTGTAGCCAGTCTCCCTGTGTGGGGGTAGCACTAACCTACACGCAGTGGTTCCAGCTGAGTGGGTCCCAGGTCAGCAGCATCAACACAAACTCTTGCTCAGGGCCATCTACACCACTGAACCAGAAGCTCTGGAGAGGCAGGACCCGACGATCAGCTCCAATAACCCCCTCAGGGAATATCAAGCCTGAGAAACCAGGATCACAGGGTGCAGAATAGGCACCCAGACGCTTAGAGAGGCAGAGAAACTCACCCGGTATATAGGCCTAGACCGCGAGGAAGTTCCCGCCCCCAGCGGCCTGGGGGGTGGGGTGGAGCCTCCAGTAGGCAACCTCTTGCTTGAGCTCAGAAGCTGTCTGCGCTGTTGCCCCCAGGGCTAGAAAGGGAGAGGGTGCCCCAGGAGGATTGCTGGCGACAGGGAGCGTTTTGCAGCCTAGAGGTTCCAGATGGAGGTGGGGCTCGCTGCGCAGGGGCTTCACCCCCGTGATGAACTGTGGTGAACCGCCTGAGAGCTGCACCTGATTCGCGGGAAGCCTGATTGGAAGCGTCGGGTGTGGCTCTCCCAGACGTGCTCTCAGGGGATCTACATTGCCCACAGCCTGGAGAAGCTGCAGCTCATTCCGTGAACTCACTAGCTCCAGGGTGTTGAAACTGCTGCGTCTCTTCAGCCAGCAAATCGTCTGTTCTAGATGAAGAGCACGATTTGTGATAGGACCTATTGCGGAAATGTATACATTCCCTAGTCCCTACCTGGATGTGGTGTTAGAGCTGGAAGGCATCAGGAAGTGTATTTGATTTGGGGGAATGTGACTTCTCTAGTCCGTGTTGGGTTAAAACGACTATCAGCTGATACTCGGCCTGAACCTGGCCTTTTCAAAGCCATCTGCACGTGGGCTGCTGTTAGAGCCACCCCAGAGGCTGACTTGCAGGTGATTTCCATCACCATTTGACAAAAGGAGGAAAGCTGGGGCTGAGGTAATTTATCCAAGGTCATCCTTGGCAGAGGGGCAAAATTCAGGCCCCCTGGACTCCGCTGCACATGCCAGGGCTGATGGAGGGCAGAAGCTGGCATTTTGCTCCTGGGGAAAAGGGCGTTCACTAGGGAGTTGCTTCTGGACTTGCATGGGCGAGAGGTCCAGTGCGAGGTGCCTTCTAAGACTGGGCTCCGCAGATGCTGTTACATTTCACACCAGGTTGTGTAACTGTATTTTGGATTTAAGGTGAGTCAAACAGACTTTTATGAGGGGAATGCCATCATCATGGCCAAGTGGCATGATCTGGACTTAAAGGAGGGTGAGGACCTTTGCTTGACTTGGAAACCTAAGCTGCTGGTTACCCCAACATGGGTGAGGGCTCTGGCACCCTTTAAGGCCTGGTTGACAGAGATGTTGGTCAGGCCCAGTTCGGCTGCGATGTCATAGCAAGCAAACCTCAAGTCTCAGTGGTTTAGCACCTAACAAGACGCTATTTCTGAATCCTAAAACATGCCCGTTGTGAGGCCATGGGAGCTGTGTCTCCCACTTGATGCTCCTGGGCTTGTGCCTCCTGAACCCTGAAG